AAAGAGGGTAAGGAAGGGATAACAGGAGGGTCTCAACTGCTTTTTCTTATAAACAACAGTAGCAAGAAAACATCTTGCATGTTCTACCCTGCAGCCTCCTTTGTAAGATATTTTGAGAGGTGTGGTAGCCCTGCAATGGCAGGAGGTTGTGTAAAGAACACAAGGGCTCATGAAAAAGAAGCAAAAGAAAGCCAACAACTCACTTCAGGTCCAAAATGCTTGATAGTATCACAGCATTTGCTTGTGTTGCCACAAATTTAAAACAAAATTAAAAGAATATGTAAACAGTGTTTCTGCTGTGCTACCGTTTTAACGATACAGCTGTTTGTTTCCCTTTTCAGGTGACATAATAAATCCCCCCCAAATGAGCTGCTTTGAGGTTTGTGAAATACAGAATCTCCTTAAGATTGGTTGTTTCTTAGGCTGGATTTGGTTGAGGTTTTTTTACTTTTTTTCTTTGGAAGGCAGAGGGACATATAACCACCCTTATATAAAGAACTCCAGTTTGGGGGAGGGTGGTGTTTGTTTGGCTTTGTTCTTTAAATCTTTTGGTATATTATGCAACTTGAATTTTCCCAGCTGTAATTTGCCTCATGAGTGTTTACCAGATTATTTCACTGGGAAATTGGTAGTGCTTCTATGCCTGAGTGATTGCTCAGTAGGTAGCAAAAAATGTTCTAGATCCTCTGCCTACAAAAGCTCCAATGAAGAGAAATGGAAAGAAAAAGAGTATACTGATTGCTGTTTAAACAGCTAGAAGCAATACAGGTCTTAATACAGCTCTTGAGTTCTACAACCAGGTAACTGGCAGGCAAACATCTGTCTTAGGGAAGATTGTCTTGATTCTCTAGTTCTTTTTGTTGTTCTCATCAACTAAATAAATAATTTTTAAGTCTCTCCATAGTAACCATAATGTAATAAAGATATCCAAGCTTTGTTCTGCAATTTTATGTAAAGAAAAAGTGCTAAGTGATCCTACATAAAAGAACCTTAGGGATGAGTGGGTGGACAGGCAGGTACTCCACTGAAATTCACTGAGACGCCTCTTAACAAGCTCTTTATCCACTGTCAGGGTCACAAAAGCTTGCTGATATATTTTAATGAAATAACTTGAAAAATCCAGAAACATGGCACAAGTATGTAGAGGTTCTTGTAATCAATGTGGCGCAACATCAGTATCCTTGGCATCCAATGCCATGCCTAACATACTGCACAGTTGTCTGCTTTTCCATGTAACTGCTAAATACTTGCTTTTCATTAACACAATAATTTAAAGAGGCTTGGTATATAGTTTTAAATTCTAATTTAAAATATTCCCTAATATAGATGTTTCCAAACTGCATCATGCCTGTGATGTGTGCAAGTTGGCCAAGTGACCAAGTGCCTCCTGTGTAGGTATGTATTCCAGAGGTAATTGCTGCTTGCTGTGGCCTTTATTTTGGGAATGCAGAGGCAGAGTGTATTTAGGAACCCCTACATGAAGTTGATTTAGAAAAAAGACTACATAAGATTTAAGTTCCCAGTTTATTATATTTTCTTAAAAACCTTTTACAAAATGCTTCTTCAGAATACTCAAAATGGAATGAGCATAATCTCTAAAACATTTTTACTTACTGTGGTTTTTTAAAGGTCATATAAAGCAGCTGTTGAAATCTTCAGCAGTTAATTCAAACATAACCTCCTTATCTAGTGTTCTGGTATTGTGTCATGTCATGAATTAATGCTTCACAAAACAATGCCACCTGCTATCTGTGGGGTTCAATGTAGTGTATTTGATGGTATGTAAAATACTTTTTCATAGGCAGGAGTGAAATGGGAGACTTCTTTTTATAACAGCTAAGAAGGTGAATTAGACTTCTGCAATGTTTCTTATGTGGAATAGACTGTCACTTAAACACTTTCACTAAATCTCAGTTTGTCTGGGATGCTGCACATCAGCATTTTTATCTGTTTAAAAACAGCATTTGGGTTGTTAAAATGAGGCCTGAGTTAAAGAAAAAAGCCTCCCATTACAAACATATGAAATCACATCACTTAAGCACCAGTGGCATCACATGCTACTGAATTAACTTATCTGTAAATGATCTTTAATTAGTACAAATTTCCCATCTATGTTTGTCAGTACCTCCAGCAAAAACTTTTCATTATTAATTGACCCTTGCTTGCATATGAGCTCAGATGTTCCCTGTGGCATTCATCAGCTTACTCAGCTCAGTAGCCGTCTAACCATGTTCTGTTTCTCTGATAGTGACACTGAAAAGAAACAGGATGACATTTTGAAATGCCTGTGAACTATGGTTAATAATACACTAATTTTTATTGTAGCATAATGTATGGTCATGGTTAGAAGCTCATTAAGTGAGTACTGCTTGTATTTGCTTTTAAGCATATCAGAATATTGACAACAACTATATAGGAGGAAACAATTTGATGGAAACTGTTTCTGTTGTCCTTTATTGCCACTTTTATTCTTTTTTTCAGAACAGCTAAAAAAGTCATTGACTGAATGTTAGAATTACTAACTACTACTTCAGAATCATTACTCAATGTCTAAAATATTAAAACAGTTCTTTCTAAATTATTTATTCTTGCATTAATAAAGTGGCTATCTTCAATTTACATAGGTATTTCACTGAGATTAATTTTAAAACACTTGTCAAACTTGTAAGGATTTTAAAAACGTAAAGGGTCACACATTTTATTGTTAACAGAGGGTGTTGAGAGAGTGTCAACACCCTATGAAGCATTAAGCTGTTGCCTTTGATGTGTAGGCAGCACCTTAGGTCTCACAGAGCTGTACTGTAAGTGAGTGTCCATATGTTCAATCCACTTTGATATGCTCAGAGATCGTGGGCCAGCAGCGTCCGTATGCTGTAGCACAACCATAGGAGGTAAAACATGCCATCTGGATTTCTGTTCCTTTTACTTACCTTGTGGCATGGCCTCTTCACGCTGTTGCCTTTGATGTGTAGGCAGCACCTTAGGTCTCACAGAGCTGTACTGTAAGTGAGTGTCCATATGTTCAATCCACTTTGATATGCTCAGAGATCGTGGGCCAGCAGCGTCCGTATGCTGTAGCACAACCATAGGAGGTAAAACATGCCATCTGGATTTCTGTTCCTTTTACTTACCTTGTGGCATGGCCTCTTCACAGTAGCAGAAAGCCTTTTTTTTTTTTTTTTTTTTTTTTTTTTTTTTTCTTTTCTGCTATTAAAATTATTTGAGTTTACCATGGAAAATATGTTTTGACTCAGTCATTAAATGAATTTTATTTTGGATGTCCATTAACAATATCTTAGAAGAGGGTTTTCTGAATCCAAAATGTACCCCAATACTCATGCTATGACAGTAAAACACTGGGAGCTTGAAATATCTTTATTAGCTAAGAACTCAGTTTCTTAATTACAAAGACTCTTGCTTTTTTATCTGTTCCCAAGTGAGGCTATGAGCACAGATTTGGATCCAACCAGATGTTGGGGTGCTAATAAGCTGAGCATGATATCTTTATCATTGACAGTATTTGCTATGATCAAATTCAGGAATGAATCCTCCACTTTTAAGACCAGAGGTTGTTCACAGGACCAGTTCCCCCTCAAAAATTACTTTTGATATCCTGTTCTCAACACCTTCACACCATTTCACAGGTGTCTGACACTAAAGTACACTGTAGACTAACAATTGTAAAGCTCACCAAAAGCTGCCTAATTCAGAAATGTGGCTCTGCTATTCAAACCCAAACTGGATTTCAGAGAACTGTTTTTAACAAATATCTTGCACAAATAAGGTACATCAACCCATTACATAGGAGCTCTACTCATTTTGTGTGAACCAGGCTTGCTAGAGCTCTCTCTCTGCTCTATTGGCAGTGATGGGATGTCTGGCACCAGTGAAATGTGCACACAGATGATGTGTTTCAAGTCCTTCCGTTCTGTGCAGCCCCTGTGCAGTTCCTCAGTACATTTAAACTCCCTGTTTGCAGAGCTCCTTGTCCTTCTTTCAAGGTCCCCTTTCCCCATCTGTTTCTTTTTTTGAAGTTTTGGTTGCAGAGGGAATTGTTTTTTTCCTGAAGATACAATCCTGACTTGTTGGTGTGGTTTTATTTTCCTCTGACAACTTACTTGAAGATGTATCGACTGTAGGGATGACTTGCTCCTGTATCTTTTAAGAGGAACCTGTTCATGTTCAGATCTCAGAGTGGCAGAACATGTGTGTTTTATTGCAGTGCTGGCTGCTCTGCTGAAATTTCATATACATGTGGCATAGCCACAGGACAAATGCCCAGACCATATGCCCTGTCACCTTATTTAGATACTACTGGAAGCCTGAGAGTCTCCCTGTTGTTTCATCTCTCTCTGGGGGATGTTTTGGCAAAGCACTGTCTTGGTCCTTGTGACATCTCCCTTCACCTTCTGCTTTGTTGCTGGTGGCTTGCCCAGTGCAAAACAATCCAGAGATTTTCTCAAATTGCTGTGCCTTTTTGACAGGTACCTGCCATTTTATTGTATGGAAAAAGTCTACCCTCTTCGGCTTCACTTTGACAGTCCAAGGGCTTGTAGCTTATGCTAACATGCAGAGCTCCATTTCCTAAAGCTCAGTTAAGAAAAACATTCTACATATTCAGTCACTATATGACAAATGTGTTTGTATCAAGAGGAACCAGTCAATTCACACAGATAGTGCAGTATCAGAAATAGCAGCCTATGGTTTACTACAGCCTTCAGACACACTGGGAGGAGTTGTTTCAACATAATGGGGCTGTTGGTGGCACGTGGGGAAGAAGTGGGAATTGCAGGTTGCCAGTCTAAGAACCGTCTCGGTGAGGAGTGTTTCCCACAGTTGGCCTCCTTTTATCTTGAACTATAAATAAACAATGTTTTATATTTTATAATGGAAGAGTTTTCAAAGAACATCAGTGAGTTTGAAGTAAGATTTGTAGTATCAAGAGACAGCTTTAATGTTCTAGATTAAATACATCTTTCAAGCTGTTCTAAATAAATGCCAATGGTATTTTTATATATATCTTTTTTTTTTTTTTCTTTTAGGATCAACAGCTCTGGATGCTTTCTAAATTACATAGGTGGGGACTGCCTCTGCTCTTAAAGAGTTTTACAGCTGAGCTCCTTGATGCTGTAACTAGATCATGTTTTTCACATTCTCTGTAGATTATTTCGTTCACTAAGAATGAACCTTGCCATAGGTATATACTGAGCCACTGAATTAACTCACAACCTACAAGTGAAGGATCGGCACGTGGTGGTGGGAAATTCAGGGGAGGTGGTTTCTTTGTTAAATGTATACATTATGGGACAAGTAATATAATGCATTACGCTAAACATCAATAATTAAATATACATTGCATCTTATGCTGTTTATGTGCTTTAGACTGCATCAAGATGTTAAGTATTTAAACTGTTTGTTGAAAAGTAAATATTTGGAATGGATTTCTCTACAGTCATTTTACTCAAAGTAGAAATTAAAAACATTTGGAATAGGGAAATATCATGGAAAAAATGGTCATGCTTATGCTAAAATTGTCTTTTCAGACATGTATTTTCAAGCAAGAATTATACAAATGCTGTAACTTCTTTTGGGACATATATTTTATCTATTTAACAAACTGAGTAATATAATTTTAAGACAGGAAAATAATTTAACATTTCAATTAGTGCTCTTCTTTTTACTAGTGTCTTTGCCATCTACTCAAGCTGTAAAAAAACAAAACCCAAACACTTTTCATTTGCAGTAGGACCTTGTCTGTCAAAGCTAAAACTGAAGAAAGGCGTGTTTGCCATAAAGCTTGTCTGGTTTTCCCATTGTATCTGTTGATCTAATAAAAGATGTTACCTCTTCTCAATAAACTTTGCAAAACATGTAATCCACAACAAAGAGAAGACTTGTAAGCTCTTGGTTATAGCTCATCAGCATAGTTACAAACCACGCCCTGTCCTTTCACCCCTAATAAACAGAATAATATTGTTGATTTTAATAATACTGTTTGAGTAAGGAATGAAAGCCAAACAGTAAATTATTTTGTTTGCATTTCTTTAACATAGTACATTCCCAGGACCTTGTATTTGTTTACAGCGCACAACGGCAGAATCAGAAGCAAATAGAAATGTACATTGGTTGGAGCACTGAACTTGTGAAAATTAGTAACTTACATGGTTTGTTTATTAAGCTTGTGAGGGCATTCAAAGGTTAAACAAGACTATGACAGCAACTAAAGCCTGAGTGAGCCTTCCCAACACACACTAATTCCTCCTAGTGGGCCTGAAGAGACAGCAATTCACTGACCTTCTAGGAAGATGGTACCACAGGACAGGCTTGCTGTTGGTGTTTGGGACAAAGGAATAACTGAAAAGAGGAAATTCACCCGCCTCTGGAATCATCGTGTTAACATGGATAATGTTACTGCTGTTGAAAACTTGTGCCTCTGAGCTAACATCTAGCAGCAGAACAAATATAAATGGCCTTGCACTGCACGAGGCTGGCGAAGACCACTGTGCTGAAGCACAGGCCTGTCATTGCATGGGATCCATCCAAGGGCCTTTCCTCCGTGTAGCTGTGTCAGCTAAGAGCAGCTCCTACGTGTCTTTGCTCGTGGCTTCTCTCGAAGGGTTGTTCTTGAGCAGAAATAAGCAAACACTCAAGTCACTGCACTGAAACGTGGTCTTATTTTAGCTCAGGGAAACCTGGAGTAGAACCTGGAGGCGCGGGGGTGTTTCTTGTGTCAGCAGTTACCGCGGGTGCAGCGGGTGTTGGCTGGGTTCTTTTTTTTTTTTAGTTCAGGCAGGCTGGAGAAAATTTTTGCAAGCAAAGAATACACCTGTACTTTACACTTTGCCAGGGTATTTTTTGCCTGCAACGTTATCTCCTGCGTGTGGCACTTCTGCATTCTCTGTCGCAGACACAGAGCAGTGAAGCTGTGGCTCCAAGATGCCTGGAGATCTAACAGGGGTTCCCCCTGTGAGAGGGAGCCCCGAGCTCTCCCTGCCTCCAGCTTTAGCACCGCTGAGGTTTCCCTCCCTCACATCTGCCGAGGAATCAGTGACCACGCACAGCTGACCCTCCAGAAACGCTGCTGGGCAAGACCCAAACAGGAGCAGCCGCCGAGGACAGTGCAAGCGCAGGGCGAGGAGACAGAAGGGCTCGGCTGTGCAGGTGCTGTGAGGCACCACACCTGTACGGACACACCCCGGCGTTCCCTGCAGGTGCGTCCTGCGAGCCCTGCGGCGGGGGGGCCCTCCCCGCGCCCGGCTGTGCGAGCACCCACGCGTGTCCCGGCGGGGCGTGTGCCCTGGTGGGCGCTGCCCCGGGCGCCTCCCGCTCACACGCACCTTCCGCAGCCGCGGAGCCG